TTACCGGAGTTTGGCTAAAACGCGCGTGCATAAACGCATGTATACATGCAGGCAAAGAGACGACGACAAAAGCGGTCGTCGAGATCCGAGCAAAGTTGGGACGACGTGCGACCAAGTATAGGTATCCGTTGAGTAAGGATATAGCGGGGAGGGAAACAGGTTAATTCGGTCCTTCTCGGGCGCAGAGAGCAAAAGGCAAGCATTAAAGTCAAACTAAGTTTACAGTTGCATGCATGCATGCGTGTTACACTATCAGGGGGAGAGAGAGAGAGAGACTCCCCCTTTACTTACCATCCCACCACGTACGGTGCGTTCTTTCGCGTACTTCCGTTAAGCAGTAATTAACGAAACTTTTCAAGCAACTCGATATAATTTATCCACGCTTGCGTGAGTTTACATTTTGCGTGTGTGTGCTCCGTATGCAATGATGGCGCGAGTATAAATATAAAAAGTCATAGTATGGGTATATCTGTGCGAGCTGCGGAGAATTCGCAGCCACCCATATGATTGACTCCGACAAAGACGGGCAAACACACGCGCGTATTTATACATGTATGCATACGTGAGCTTTGAATTGACAATTTTCAGAGCGAAACCGCAATTTTTCGAGTTACTTAATTTGAAAAAAAAAAAAAAAAAAAAAAAAAAAAACAATCGATCAGCAGGGTGCGCGTATTTTTTTTGTAAAAAAAAGATGTGCTTTTCTTTTTTCTTCCGCATGTCGTATTATTACGTCACCGCATGACGTGGAAAATCACCACCAGATTTCGATCGCTTCCCATACTCGTGTTTTTAATTAGATTTTACAATCAGTCGGTACTTCAAACGCGATTCTTACCCAAATACAGCAAATTCTTTGGGCGCCGAGAGAGATCCTTCAAAGCCCTGGCAAGCAAGGGAGCCAATTTACTGTGTAAGCCAAATAAAAATTTGATCTCTGTGTTTATCCTTGAACACGAAATAGGGAGACTTTGTCTCAGAACTTGGGTCAACATCAAAGAAAGAGAAATTTCAAAGTAAGCGTATAGCACATAGTGGCAGCAAACATGACGGCAAAAAGTTTTTAATTAGAAAAAAAAAAAACGGGGCCAAGTATCGAGGGCTCTCATCGAGGTGTTAATACTACCTTGTACCAACTAACTTTTTATCCAACATTATGTGAACTTTTTTTTTCTCTGTGCAGTATCGCACCTGAGCTTTAATCTCTCTCTCTCTCTCTCACTATATATATATATTATTCTCCTGTCTCAAACTTTCCCTGCTGCATCTTCAGTATAAATAAACTTTGGGCACAACTTAAAAATTTTTTGTGTTGGATGTGTCACCTTGCACATACACCACATGTGCGTGGCTTTAGTTAAGCAGGGCAAGTGAGCCCGATATGCCACGTCGAGCTCCAGAACAAAAGACAGGAGATGTACATTTAAATCTCAAGAGTCTGACTTTGAGGGGGAGCTCTGAAAAGTATAATGGCTAGTATAGGAGCAGTAGCTCAGCTTGTGGAGTGCCGTGTGCTGACTACTTATCTTGCCATGACAATTGATTGCGATAAGTGAACTTGTAAGAGTTCAAAGCCGCAGTACTCATGTTGTATAACGAGTGGGACACGGTCAATGTAGAAATAACAATTCGTCTCGAGAGTCTCGAAGCACACAAAACGGTTGCCGTCTTTCTCCCCTCCTTGGCAAGAGATGTATGTATATAATGAGAGTATAGGTAGAGCAAGGCAGAAAGCGCTGACAACTTTCAGACAACAAGCTATTTCGCTCTCTCCGTCTACGATAAATAAGGAGAGCTAGAGTCCTCTCGGGAGTCCTGGTAGAGATATGAAGATTTCGATAACGCCTCGGCAGACACGGATAGATTGCGTCGTCGTAGCTCGCTTCTTGGTGCTACAAGAAAATATGCAAGAACCGGCCGGAAACGCTATTCCAGCTTACGCGGATTGTATATATGTATAGGGAGGACGAGAGACAAATGTGGGAGGGCGCGTGGCAAGAAGCTTTTGAAAGAACGTGCAAAATGAGAATGAATGCCAAAAATAAGAAAAACTGCTTACTGCTTACTGCTGCTCTGCGATGAAACAAAGTAAGGAGTATCTATTATAAAAACAAAAATTTAATTTAAAAAACCGCACTTGAGTTTTCTTCTTTTTGATTGCGCATAGATAGGTATTTCTCCATGCACACTTAATATCTCATTTTTCCTCTTCTCTCTTCATTTGCACGAATGGGATTTTTTTTCCTTCACGGTAATATCTGATGGATTGAACCCTGCAACAAAACAAAAAGTTTTAATGAAACCTACTTACACTGATTCATTAGGTTCGTTTGGGGCTTAGCTTGGAGCAGCTCCTCCGAGCTCCTCCGAAATTTGCCCCCAAACACGCGTTTTGCTCCGAGCTCATCGGAGCGACTCCGATGCAAATTCCTACAGCCGGTATATCTATATATATGGCCAAGACGTAAATATTTATATTGCCAAGACTGTAAATATAGATATACCGACTGTAGGAATTTGCTCAGAGTCACTCCGATGAGCTCGGAGCAAAACGCGTGTTTTGGGACAAAGTTTGGAGGAGCTCCGAGCTGCTCCAAGCTAAGCCCCAAACGAACCTATTGGCAATGAGTTATTTCAACACTCTTAATGACAGTTATAAACAGTACAATATATAACTATAAAAATTAAGAATTAAAAAGTGCACTGCATCATAAGCTGACTAGAAGCAAATACTTCAATAAACTTGTGTCTTAGAAAAAGTTACTAGCTTAAAGTAAGAATGAACGTTTGATTAAAAGTGGTATAAGTGAAAATGGAGAACAAAGCTTCAATTGAGCAGAGAGGAATGAAAAGAACTGGTTAAGAACAAACGACAGTGAAATAGTGAGATTTTTAAAAATTAAGTGAAATGAATGAAAAAGCAACTACCTAGAACTTGGATAAGAAAGGAAAAGGATTAGCAGAGTAGAGATCCACCAAGAGGAGTTGGCTGCTGAATCGGGTAAAGAAGGTAAAAAAGCAGAGGCATGAGCAAAGGTCAGCAAGACGGGGACAAGTAGGTAGGTAAGAGTAACTCTCTTCTGTTAGAGAAGAAACTACTTGGGTGTAGAGACGTCAGAGAAGAAAATTGAAAAGAGAAAAAAAAGAGACTTGGGTTTTTGTTCATTGGTACATGAGAGACTTGAGGCATAGCAGCAGCATAGAATCTAAGACAGTGTGCGTACATAAATTTATAACAATCAAGTGTAAAAATAATAATAGGTATCTCGTAGGGAGAAATCCTTTAACGAATCATGACACTGTGTAATCATGACCTTCAATTCATGCGAGAGCGAGAAATAGAGAGTTCAGTTCTGCCCATATCTCTCCATCACTTTTGTACAAAGGAATGCCATCAGTTTATCTGATTTTATCTTTGTACTTGAATATTTATTCGCTCCGAGCCGATGCAGAGGTTGCGCCCCCTCTAGCCAAAATCAGGCAACATTTATTGCATGTAAACAAACGGTTTAGAACATATATACATACGTACAGCTGCTTGTGATTGGCACTTGACAAGCTAGAGAGAGAACGACGATCCTCTCCTGCTGTCTTATTCAGCCAATCACAAGCAGCTATACGCATGTATATATGTTCTAAACCGTTTGTTTACATGCAAGAAATGTTGCCTGATTTTGGCTAGAGGGGGCGCAACCTCTGTATCGGCTCGGAGCGAATAGAAATGTTTTCTTTCGAGTATTAAATTTGTATATGTCATATTATATTGTCAAAAAAATATCCTTCAATGTACTTCTTAATAGTGTACAACTGATAAATAAAAGAGTAGTTTTATACGTTTATGCTTATATTTATCTATAGTTTCTACTACAATATGCACCTAGACACAAACGTAATGAAGTATCACTGGGAAAATTAATAATTAATAAGTAGTCGGTAGGTAAATAGATATCGAGATTAAAATATGAAATAAGTAAACTTACACGTAGTGGTGGAAACTTTTACAGCGACCACGGCTTACTTCACGAGCTTGCCTCCAAGTCGTCCACTGTAAGTATATCACAGCCAAAAGGTAATACTTAGCTTTGTTTTGCACTTTTTTGAAATACTGTAACGAGAAAATTCTGGAGTGTTTAAACGCGCACGACTCGATCGAATCGCAAGTTATGTACCGACGTTAGCAAAATTAGATAATCACAAACGACAAATTGATGTACAAATTGATAAAAAATCTTTCAAGTTTAGTTCTAACCTTACAACTGACTTGTTTGAAACGAAATTCGCACGCGTTGCGTACGGCTGCGGAGTGCGGACCAGTTCACCGAGCGCCTGACCGGACACCAACTACGAAAAATTGCTTGGGAGTTGCGAAAGTCAGTAAGTTTATTTAAAGTATGAACACTTATCACTTGTTTGCTCATGTGGATCATGGGAATTGAGCTTAAAATACGACCAATAATTGGCGATTAATCGTGGTACAGTATACGTATTAATACACGTATACGAAAGTGTTATTGATTAGGTACAACTTTCTGGTGGTGCAAGCGTGTTTAGACTGAACACTGACGGTTAATTGTATTCTGTTGGAACGAAGTAGGTGATTTCAAGGATCACGAAGAAAGAGAGGGATAAAAGATACGGTTGCTCGCTCTGAAGGTTATACCTACGTAACGGATGCGTAGGTATAGGTATCTGCAGGCGGTATAATCCGGATGAGCTGCCGGGAGCCGCCAGCAGCGCTGCTGCTGCAAACGAGGTGTGGAAAGTCTCCGGGAGACGCTACTCGCGCGCGAAAATAAAGAGTGCAAGTACTTACAAATAAGTAAGTTCAGGTACGAGTTGTGAATTGGTGCTGTGAAAGAGTTGCAGAGGAATAAACACGGCCATCTTCGAGAAATAGGATATATACGTATGTAAGCGCCCATAGCACGACAACGAAAGATAATCATCCCTTACATTGACGTGAGACGGGACGGCGGTAGGAGCAGAGAGATCGCAGAAAGATGGTGTCGAAAAGGATCAAGTACGCCCGGGCGCATCTCTCGCGGCGCCGGCACACTGCGATCTTGTCGAGGCCTCTCTTGAGACGCATTCAGAAGACCGACTTCAACTCCCTGGTAAGTCAGCCAGCCATGTAAGAGCACGAATCCTCGTATAAAAACCCTAGCTCTTGCTCTTTCTTGCCTTTTCTCGTCGATGCTCTCATATTTAACTTATTCACACCTCTGCTTTCTTCATTCTTACCAACTTAATCGCGAGCCAGCCGCAATTGCTGTTACGGCGACGAAACTTGCAGCATGCAGCTAGAGCACTGGAGAGGACGAGTCGGGCTTAAGCCATTATCACGCCATTTTCTTGCGCCTAAAAACTTATTGTTTATAGGGTACACTGAACTTTTTTCGTAGTGGATAAGTCCACATTAGGAGTGAGTAACCCCTCGTCCCCCCCCCTCACTAAAACTGTACTTTTGAACACTTGATGACGCAATGACACGGAGGTATGTGAGGTTTGTTCATTTATCCACCTTGGAGCGCTCCGAGGCCTCCGAGCAATCCATAAATGAACACGAGTTCTTTGTCGGAGAACTCGGAGGCCTCCGAGATATCCTTATACTATAGCTGCTCATTGTTTACAAACATCAGTTATAAGCGGTGAGTATACCTATATAGTATAAGGATATCTCGGAGGCCTCGGAGCGCTCCAAGGTGGATAATTGAACAAACCTATAATTAGGGTCTAGTGTGTACTTAATACCCATACAGGCAGAGATGAGTGATCTACTCATCTTTAATACTTACAGGTATGGACGGCGTGCAACTTCCTTGATTGGTATTACGTATTACGGATTGCAATTGCATGCTCCATGTGACCGCGGCCTTACATTATCATAACTCAATACACACTCGCTCAAATATGTATATGCATTTGTATGCAAACATGTTTTTACTCAGCAATAAAAGTATTTACTTGGGATACAGAAGCATCAGCAGTAGCGGTAACGGTAAAAAAATGGGCTCTGTTTGCTTCCATGTACTTGATGGGTGCGGAAAAAAAAAATATATACAACCAGATGAATAAGATGGCAGCACTACTGCAGCTCTACCAGCTAGCTGGCAGCTTATTGCATCCTCATTAGTAGCCATAGGTGTAGATACCTACTTGTGTATCACTTCAATCCCGTCTCTTCTTCCATTACGATATTCTGGTTATTGTTTTCACGTGTTCCCTATAGCATATACATGCACACATTCGTCACACTCTGTTTTTTTTGGTCTTCATAAACATTTACGGCTGGCATTAATTTATATTCCTTAAACAGCCGAGCAAGCAGCGTCGTAATCTAAAACAACTTTCTAAAGAAGACGCAGATTTGAATTTAATGCACAAGCAAGCACATTACTACTATACGTAGGTAGGTTAGGTATATACATACCTAACTAGGTGCACGAGCCCGCAGAGTTTCCGCCTTCGCCTATTGTTTCGGAGCTATATTTTTAGTATGTTTTTTTGTTTTGTTTTTGCGTTGTACTTTATTCTGATTCGCGTGTTTTTACTAGAAAAAAAAAAAAAAAAAAAAGGAATGCCACAGGCTGCTGGCATCATTTTTAATTATTTTTCGCGCATGCAATAGTAGCAATAATAACAACTGTTTCTCTTCCTAGAGCAGTCTTCTTTTCATTTCAAGGGGTAATTTAGAGCCACCGCATCGAATGGGGGAGGTATAGCAGCGGCTGCAATATTTTTCGTCCGTTATTCACGAGTCAAAGAAAGTACAATACCTACAACCTACAACTGTCGGTTCTCACCTGTACCTATACGTATAGGTAGACGCGCGCCCGGTGGTATATGATGGGCAAAAAGAATAGGAAAAGCCGATCGAGTCGCCGAGAGAGATATTAATTTGAGATTAGGGGCGCCATGTTTCACCGGACGCGGCAGGCAATCAAATGATCAGGAGGGCGCTTGCTCGTTACTTATACTTTTCCTCTGCAGTAGTTCTTGGCTCCTCTGTAAGGTAAAAGTACCGATGCTGGGACGCACTTTTGACTCTGTCCCAATAGTGGGACAGTCAATAACTAATAAACTTTTAAGAATTTTGTCATGAAATAAATTAATTTCAGATTCAGAGATTTAAAGTTGTGTCTTATTATATCAATAAAACTTATCATCTATTTTCAATTGCATTACAATGAAAAAAAAGTTTTTAAAAATACCTGTCTCATTATACGTACAATTTAAAACATAATCTCAAATTTCAGATGTCCCGTTGGTGAGGCACATAGATTCCATTGAAATAACATGTACGTCTCGCCATTGGGACATGCATTCTCAATGGTGTTTCGCGTTAGGTACAACATTACGTAGTAAGTTTTTATTAATTGTAATTATTTCTTGCCAAGACAAAATTACAAAAAAATTGTGTAATAAGTAGGAACACAAAATATATAAATAACAATTTAAATGTTCAAGTTATCTCCTAGATGTGATATTGTATGAATTTTTAAACGAAATTTCACCAAAAATCGTCCCAGCATCGGTACTTTTACCTTATAGGTAGGTACCCGAAATTCTAACACGAATCGTGAGTAACACACACACCTGTACCTATAAAACGTGGTCGCTCGTAACTTTTATCAACAATAAAAACACCATCAGCAGAGATCGACTCTCAAGGAAACACACATCCCTATGATAATAATAATAAAAACAGGTAAGTAAATTATTGTATACCGTCGCGTGCGCGCGGTCATTGTGATCAGCCTGCAGATTGGTTTTATTTTACAATTTTAGTTCGCGCTCACAAGCAAGTATACGCGCTTACGGTGCACACACGCGGACGAGCGTAATTCGCGATAACAACACCGGGGGTAACGGCAATAATAATAATGACCTCACGTTTGCACTTCCTTATTGTATACGAAATTCCCCGGTGGAGAGATAACGAAGCCTGCCGCGCGCGTGTCCGATAGAAAGAGAGAGAGCCGCGCTGCTCCCTCCCCCCCCCCCGATTTGCTTTTATTAATCTCAACGATTCCGGCAGCAGCCCCCCCCCCCCCCCCCCCCGATTTGCTTTTATTAATCTCAACGATTCCGGCAGCAGCACCCACTTTTGCGCGTCACGTGCATGCATGCACGCGCGTGTAGATAATATATATATATATAACGGCACCCGCGTATAGAAGGTACAACTGGGCGGAGTTGCGAAACTGCGCGCACCCCGAATTTTCGCGAAAGGCGTCGCATTCTGCCGCAGTTCCCGTGATATGCAGATTTCGGAAATTCCTGCCCAAGCAGGTAGCTGGATGGGTTATATTATACTCGGTGTAGTATAAGTTTGAGAGAGTCGCGTCCGCGGCGGCGCTAACGCGTTAGGTGGTTCTCTCGAGCCGAGATAGCAACTCCACGCGCTTCCTCTCATTGTATAATTGGGTATAGGTCGGTATAGGTTGTACGTAGGTATAACTAATTTACTTAATCCAACTCAACGCTATTGCCCCCCACGTATCTGCAACTCTTGTTTATTTCATTTTTGTAATTGATGCGCGCACAGAATCTCCTTTTTCGGATGGACCAGTCGAGCTCGGTATACCGTACCTGTGAAAAAGTGGCTCGGGCTCATTGTTTATTGTTTAATCACTCAGGTAGGTACACTGCAACAATCTCGGGACATCCTCCATTTCACGTGACTTCCCCCCGACCCCGACCATCCGACCGTTACTTTACCTATACTTTTTATTTCCTGCATCCTGCATGCACATGCGGGTGTGTGCGCGAGCCAAGTGGCTCGATGTATAGGTACCTATATATATATATATATATACCTAGCTCTCTGAGCTCTCTCCCTATAATCAGTAGTGAAGTACGAGTTTGGTCAGACACCGTCACGTGATACGTATGCCTGTAATACCTATAATATAATTATACACTCACCTATGTATATGTACCGCGACATTATTTTTATTTATCGGAGGAAAAACTGTCACCAACCGGTATAATATATATATATATATATA